ATTACTCCATTATATTTAAATAATATTTAATTTTTTTATTTCGTAAGAAATGGGTGACAACGAAGCATCCAAGAGTCCTGATTCAATTAAGATTCAGAGTCCAGACGATGAATATAAAAAGAAACTAAACAGAATTAAATCAAAAATATGCTATTACAAAAAGAAGCCGCAATGCGGTGGGGCTGATGCCCATAAAACTAAAGTAATTGAAAACGATAAAGAGAGGAAAGAAATAATCGAAAAATTAGAAACTTACCGTTCAATCCTTAAACTGAGTGAAGCAAAAATAAAAGAATTTAATAGAATAAATAAATTGATTGGAAGAGATGAATTTAATAAAGATGAATTTTTAAACTCAATCCAAATTTAATTTTTATTCCTCTTCGACAACATCTATTCGAGACGCCGAACCCTTCTGGGTTCTTCTTTCCATCATTACTGCATAACCGCATCTTCTCGGTTTTCGTGGTTTGTTGTTTTTAATTCGTTCTTGCATCATTTTTATCATTTCCTCCCTTGTTATGATTCGTGGTAAATTTTGAGCTTGTGGGGTATCCATTTATATAAAAATAAAATTTTGTTATCAGTTATTTTATCGTTAATGGTTTTTAGGTTATTCAATAATTAATTATTTTTGAATAACTGAAAGTGTCACTACGTCACCATGTCACCGGGTTAATTAACTTCTCTTAAAATTACTGACAACATGACATTTTGACAACAGGTACGAAAGGAGGAAGGCATTTATGAATTATTTTTGAAGAACTGAAAGTGTCACTACGTCACCATGTCACCGGGTTAATTAACTTCTCTTAAAAATGATGACAACATGACATTTTGACAACACAGCAGGATTAATGCAAAAATAAATTCAAATCATACTTTATAAAGCTTCATTTACAGGTATTTCATCATCAGTAAATGAATCATCATTATCGTTTGGTTCAACCTGTTTATATAATCCTTTCATTTCTTCTTTCAAAACATAACACCATGTCTGTTTACCATCTATTCTTCTCTGTTTCCTATCACATTTATCCTTAATGCTCATTTGGAAATTCTTGTCTTTCATGTCTGATGGTTTGCAGAATAGAGCATTTTTACACGTCATACCTGCACACAATTCATCATAATGTGTATTTATCCATACATCTAAAGGATTTGTTGATAATTCAATTAAATCTTGTTTGGCTTCAGTCATCGGTATGATTCGTACATTAAATGATGAAAGGTCATATTGCATAAAATACGTCAGTAAATTATCATAAAATTCCTTAGTGCATGAATTCATTAAATTCTTGAAATAATCAAATTGACCCTTGAATTTACCATTAACTCTTAAAACTACGTATCTTCTGTCTCCAACTTCAATTTTGACAGGGTAGACGTTATTAGTTACCAAAATGAAATTGGCAACATTCTGAGCAGTTCTTCTGGGTTGATTCTTTTCATTAATTCTAATCTCATTATCCGTAATAATTGATTTCAAAGCGTTGAAGTTTGCGAGTCTATCTTCACCAACATTCTTGAGTTCATTAAGTACAAGAAACATTTTATTTTCAACTACTGAATTGAAATTACCCGTTAGCTCACTTATTTCGGTAATGTTTTTACATGAATAACCAGCGAGAAGTTCAGAAATAATGTCTGTAAATCTGTTTTTACCTGTTCCCTGAAGTCCTTTCAAAATAATTGCTGTTTCATTCTTGATTCCAGGATGTTGAATCATTGATGCAATCCAGCCGAGAAGATATTTATACACTTCATCGTTATTATCACAAATGGCTTCTTTAATGAAATTCATAAACATCTCAATTTTTGAGTAATCTACTTTTTCGAGAACGTTGTATTTATAACCCTGAAACGTTGAGAAAACATCTAGAGAATCAGATTTAAAGCAAACACCCTTAACGGTTAATGAGGATAATTGATTTAGTAGTACATCCCATGCTGTTATGGTTTTACCCTCTTCTTTAAATAATTTAATCATTTTGAGTGACTCTTTCATGTTTGATTGAAGAACGAATGATATTTGATTCATTTTGTCGTGGATATTATAGTCCTTTTGAATGAAATATTTATTTCCACAATCTACAAAACGGATTACACGTGATAAATCCTCAATTACTTCAGAACTGTTTTTATACTGATGATTTTCAGCCTTGCGTCTAATATCTGTTATCAAAAACGAGTCATCAAGTTTTATATCAAATGTTATTTTTGGCTTACGTAATAAAGGTAAAACGTATTCATCATAATATTCCTTTTGATAAAGTTTTAGAATCTTCACTAAAACAAATGGAGAAGTCATTAAATGTGCATATCTATAGGGTGTCCAAAGGTGTGTTTAGCACAAACCTGAATACTGCGAATAGAAATAAACAAGTTACATATATATAAAGTTTATTTAAATATAATCACCATTGGATTCAATCACGCGTTCGCAGCGATCGATCCAGGCTTCAAAGACACGCTTTAAATCATCATGAGAAAATTGCTCAAATTGCTCTCTTACAAAATTTTCAAGATCATCTGGACTCGCGAATTCGCGTCCTTCAGCTCTCTTTTTTAGCGTGCCGAATAAATAAAAGTCAGAGGGTGCAATATCAGGTGAATAAATTGGATTTGGAACAACTTTGACTTTGTTTTCCACCAAGTAATTCATTACCTTATGACTTTTGTGAACTCTTGAATTATCAAAATGAATTGCAAACTTTTGTTTTTGTTGTTTGGATTTCTCAAACTCATCAGAATTGATAATTTGAGTAAGAACATTGTCAATTAGATACTGAGCATTCATCGTATTAGGTTTTTGAAGAATATCAATTGCGATGATGCCATTCACGCCCCAAAAAACCGACAACATCATCATTGGTGTGTCAATTTTTTTCTTCGGGAATGTTTGCGGATTTTCATCCTTCGGGATCCACATGATTTTGGCTTCTGTTGCATATTGAAACCAAGACTCGTCCCCTGTTACTAAAAAGCGAAACTTCTTGGATTGATACGCACCCAATATAGAGAGGAGCTCTTTCGAAGATTGGACTCTAGATTTTTTTTGAACTGAATTAAGGTTGTGCGGAACCCAACGTGTATACGCTAGTTTGTAGTTCAAATAATTGTGCAGATAATAACTGACTGTTGTACGTGGTATCTTTGTCATCTCCTCTATCCTTCTGAGTGATGCTCTTGGGTCTTCATCTAGCGCTTGAAGAATTGCTTTGATTTTTCTTTGATCCGGCGATTTTTTGTCAATTTTTATGATGGGCGCCTTTTTGTTCATGAAGTGATACATCCTAACATGATACGTTACAGTGGAATAGCTAGAAGCATCCATACCGAAGCATTTTACCAATGTCTCGTAGATTTTTTTACAGTCTTTGCATTTTTTTGCAAGAGCGAGGATGTTTTCTTTATGATTCATTAAAAAAATGAAAAAAATCCCGCCAAAATTTCCCGCAAAACCGCCTCTTGTCTCAAAATTCATTTTATATCCCGGCATGGCGCCAAAATACAACATACTCATCATATACATATATTCATATTTTTTATTATATATTTATAATCAGCATATATCTCCTTTAATAGTCTCATATAGAGCGCTGTGCTAAACGCACCTTTGGACACCCTATACTACGTGCTTTTTCAAAATTACTTTTTGCATTTTCTGTTAAACTGCAGAAGTTATAAACGTTATCGTATGCTTCATTAATCAAATGATTAGGTAACGAATTAATTGCTTGAAACAGTGTGAATAATGTAACTTCTTTTTCTAAATTCATGTTTCCACCGTCATTATGTACTTCAAAATCACTGATGCCATCAACTATGCTCTGGGCAAGTTTATCGTCAATGTTTACATCTTTGTTTTCATTCATGATAGTCTTTATTTCTTCGTTCTTCTGTTCAACTCTTACCTTAATATTCAAATCATTTAATATATCATTCGCTGTTCTAGTTAATATTGAATCATAACTTCCACGAATGAATGAGTATGTATTGATTGGTTCTGTTGCATTCTTGCGAACTCTTGAATCGGCCATAACTACTAAAGAACGCTTTGAATCATCCATAGAAGTCATTATGTCGATATCATAATCATTGCTGGAATAACATTTAATCATTCTGTTCGAAACTGCATAAAAGAAATTAGTGTTACAATAAATGTGAAGACCTCCTGAAGCAGTTTTAACGATAACATCTTTATCCGAAAGTTTTGATAAAATGTCTTTTCTAACTGTTTCTTTAAGTTCATCATTGTACGATTTATTGATATCAACATCTATAATCGTTAAATTTGATATTTTATTTACTAATAAAGCCATACCAGTTTTCCTTCCTCTTCCTCCATCGTGTTTGAGGTAGTTATGTAAATCAATCTTGTTTTCACCAATTCTTTCGTTGAGGGTTTTAGTTTCTGCCACAACTAATTCCTCAGCTAATGAATCAATAACTTTTTCATCAGAAACGATATAGTTGCTGTTGTTGTTTGTGCCCGTCATTTATATAGGAATAAAAAAATAAAAATAATTTTAAAACTAACTTTATTTTTGGGCTGCATCAATTTCCAGGACTGTTGTCAAAATGTCATGTTGTCATCATTTTTAAGAGAAGTTAATTAACCTGGTGACACGGTGACGTAGTGACACTTTCAGTTCTTCAAAAATAATTAATTATTGAATAACCTAAAAACCATTAACGTAAACATTAACGATAAAATATATTTCCAGGACTGTTGTCAAAATGTCATGTTGTCATCATTTTTAAGAGAAGTTAATTAACCTGGTGACACGGTGACGTAGTGACACTTTCAGTTCTTCAAAAATAATTAATTATTGAATAACCTAAAAACCATTAACGTAAACATTAACGATAAAATATATTTCCACGGTTCATTCGGTACTTCATTACCTAATTAATTACAGACATAAAATATATTTAGTTCATTCGGTACCATGCAAATACAGTCATAAATGGTGGCATGTAATCTTCACCCGAGCCCGTTGGATTTGTTGTGAAAGTATGGACATGATTTCCTCCTGGTTCAGTTTGTCGAAAAGTCTTTTTTGTTGAATCGTTATAAGCTGGAGATAAAACATCATAACCGGCTTCATAGTCTGAGTTGTATAATGGGTGGTCTCTTAATGAGTGTCTATGGTCGCCAGAAAAGTTTGTAGTTCCTGTATGCTTATGCGGTGGAAGGTTTGCTTCTTTAATTTTCTTTGAACCACCCGTTTGCTTTGAACTATTAGCACAATAGAGGAAACGATCGGTTATTTGTTGCCATGTACCGAAACCGAATACATCGGCTGGATTTGTTGAATTCATTGATGTATATATTGAACCAATGGGGTAAATCATCTCAAGAATTGTATTTAATCCATTATGAATATTGAATTTATTATATAATATTGAAACCGGGTGAGTATTTAAAACTGGTCTTGTTATCAATATTAACGTATTATTTTTGAAAATAGCTTTTCGTACATCTTGAAATTTTGTGATTTCAGACCAGTTTCTTCCATCACTACTGATATTTACTAAATCACCACATCCTAAAGCAATGAAATACCCATCAATATAAAATAAATTAGTAAATCTATAATTTCGAGTAAATTTTGGAGTGAATGAATAAACCAATTCCCAATTTGATAAATCCTGTGATAAATAAATATGTCTGTTATAACTTACAGGATATGAATAGACCATTCCACCTGAAACGAGAACATAAACATTTGATCCATAACATAAAGCTTCAATGTCTCCATCAGCTTGAAAAATTTGTTCAAATTGACCTTGTGGTATTGAATATGATCTATAAATTTTATCATTTTGTAGGATAAAATACATGTTGTTAATGTAATACCATTTACTTGTATAATCAATTTCCAAATCTGATGACATCATACTAAACATATAATAATTTATCCCATCCTCACTAATGAAAATTGATTGACTTCATAAATTAGTACCCATTTATTATTAACACATCTAATAGGATTATTTGGATATTTAAATTTAGCATCTTGATTTAAATTACATTTGAACCATTGGATACAATCGAATGAATAACAAGGGCAAAAATCATCTCCAACCGTTATCATTCCCATAAATTTACCGTTATTATATTCAACATATAAAATTCTTGGATTAATGATTGGCTTTCGTGTATCAGGATTCAAAACAGATGGAGTAAATGATTCATAGTTTTTAAAATCATTTGTTTTAAAATAATAAAGCACTCCATCTGTATAAAATAAATACGTGGTCACTCCATCGAAACATAACCATTCAAAAGAATCTATATCAAAGGTTTTATCTGATGATTTCATAAAATTTAAAAATGGTGGAGTAAAATAGACCTCTGATTGTTTTATTTCTTCATTAACAAATGATATATCAGCTTTCTTTGCTAACTCAGTATTAATGAATGAAATAACTTTTTCCTTATCTGCCTTCTTCTCTAACTCATCGTTAACATAAGTTTTATCTGCTTTAAGGTCTAAACATCCTGAAACCCACCCTGTATCAGCTTTAACTTTAAAAGTCTCCGATGTCCATTCATGATACCATTCAACCTTTTCTTTAATTTCATTATCTTTTTCATCAACATAAACCAAATTTGCTTTCTTCATTAACTCACTATCCACATATTCCTTATCTGCTTTCTTCATTAACTCACTATCCACATATTCCTTATCTGCTTTCTTCATTAACTCACTATCCACATATTCCTTATCTGCTTTCTTCATTATGTCGTTTAGGAAACCTTCTATGAATTCCTCATTTAAATTAAATCTTCCAATCTTCAAAACTTTAGGAAATGCATTTAATGCATAATATCTCTGTTCTTCTGGTGGAATTGATGTTATATCATCCGTTATACCTTTAATTTTAGAATTCATAAATAAAATTTCTTTTATATTTGATATCACTGCACCACCATTGCAAACGAATTCAAAATGGTCATTTTTCAATACTATCTCCAAATCTCCATATTTCAACCTTTGCGTTTGTTCTGCCGTCTTTGAATTATATGCATATGTGGCATATGTAATGGTCTGAAGGACCTGGGCGCTTTGCGCCTTAAGTTGCTGTTGTTTAATCATTTATTACGATTTAAAAATAAATATTTAATCCGTTATCTCATCAGCTATTTTCTCTATTTGAAATTGCCATAATATTTCATTCATAAATTCTAAATCACAATCAAATAGGTCAGTTATTCTAAATTTAATATTTGATAAATCTTTTGAATGAAGAATAAATGAATTCCCGGATAATTGAAGCGGATATGGAGTGTGGGACAAACTATCCAGTGTCACTTTTTATTAACCTTATTTAAAAAAATTAATAAAATAATAATAAAAAATTATTTGAATCTTTTACATTAATTGTTTCTTTTTTAAAAATACCTTTAAAGTACAATAAACAAGATTTGAATCTATTGATCCTTGTTGCAAACTTGAATATATTGCTTCAAGCATTTTTGAGAGTAGCCCATGCTAGCTTTTATCTCTTCTTGGATACCAAACTGGAGGAGCTCCATAGTGTTGAATATCACGGGCTCCATACAACAAATTGAATAAGGTATTTCAAAATTTGAAGGAAATGGTCCATCATTGAATGTAGTGGCCGGGAATTGAATGACATACAGATAGTTTGAGGAAATTTGTTATAAATTATAATATAATTGAAGAATTAATTATCAAAACAAGTCTAAGAGCCATTTGTCAGATTTTCCCGAAATGCAAGGTTAAGATTTTAGCAGCGACTAACTTTGAGTGTACATATATAATTGTTATACTGAGTACTTTCTATCTGTGTTACTTATTTGAGTCTAAGAGTCATTTCTACCATAGAACTAGATATTGTCTCTCATTAAATATATATAACTGTAAACTGCTTAATTCATTTATCTATTTAGATAAAATTATATTTATATAAGATTTCATGTTATTATTTCATCTTTATTATTTTTTTTATTCCTTTGAAAAGTGACACTGGATAGTTTGTCCCTTTCTCGCGGATATGATAAAGAAAATGTGTTTAAGTTGATGGATAAAATGTTTTGTATTGATGGGTAAGAGTTAAGGTCTAATGTTTGATGTGAAAATCTCATTGGGGTATTAACTTTATCACATTTGATTAAAATGAAATTGGAACCAGTGTCAGAATACAAAACATCCCCAACATCTTTTTCAAAATTTAATATCCCCAACAATGAACGAAGATGAGGAGTACAAAATTTAATTTTCAGCGGGAATTTAATAAGGTTATTTATTTCATCAAGTTCAAAAAGTTTATCGGGTTTTGATTTAAAATTTTCTTCATACCATACGATCAATGATTCATTTAAATAACTTAAAATCATGTTAATATCCCATTTCGCTATCACATTATTTATATACATATCATACGTTTTTTCAAGGTCATCTTTAATAAATGATATATAATCTGAAGGGTCTAAAAGAATGGGATTAAATTTACCACTCACAGAAACGAGAGTAACATTATAAATTCCGCAAACTGTTAAATTTAATTCACAGTTATTATTCGAAATAATATTGATAATTGACATTTTTATTACGATTAAAAATATGGTAAAGCGTTATTTTCCAGTGATAAATAAAACTAGAATAAGATTACCTCAAGAATTCATAAATTCAACGAATAAGAAATTCATTCATGTTATAAATTTTAGTGTTTTCAGAAAATATGAGTCAGTGTCATATTCATCAACAGGTTATATTTCACTTCATTCAAATTTAGTTCAATCAAACCCATATAATGACCATTTCATAAGATTTTCAGATGGTATTAAAAATGTAATTGATAGATTAAAATATGAACAGATTGACAATATCGAATTTTTGGAATTTTGGTTTAAATATCCCGATGGAAAAAAGATTGAAGTTAAAGATAAAGCTGATACTATAACAAAAACAATTACAATGACCGATCCGGATAGTGGGGAACATAAAGAAATAAAACAAACGATAGAAACTGGTGAAAGGTCAATTATTATCGATTATGATTCAAAGGATTATTATTCGATAATGTTAATGCTTGAATATTAAATAGCCTTAACAAAGAATTTTTCAAGTGATATTTTATATTCATCAACTATTTTATTATAAATATCATTATATGTTAAATGAAGTTCAGTTGTTGTTCCGTTCTTTGATATCTTAATTGTGCTAATATCCTTTATAGGATTTATTTTTGCAACTGTTCCGCAGCATGAAACCTCATCATCTATGAAAAATTGAATCTTAACGTCTGAATCTTGAACATCACAAAGAATGGCGATAATGTGAATTAATGATTCATAAGGTAAAATAATTAAACCGGATTGGTCAATTAAATTTATTATTGAATCATAATTATTAATTATTATATCACGGTAAATTTTCATTAATTCTGAATTAATGTCTATTTTATATGGGTTCTCGATGTTTGATGAAAGAGGCGGGGGTATGTTGGATAAGTGGGAATTTCAACAGGTTCTTTACCGGGTTCAGATAAAATGATTGGGTCTCCATTCTCATGGTTTTCTTCATTCTCCTCATTCTTCGGTAAGTCACGAGTTAATAAATTTGGTTGAGTTGCTGACCTTGTTAATTCGGGCTAACATTAACTTTAACATTTTGAATAATTCGTGATTTATCATCATTTACGTTATAACCAACCGTAATCTCTGCTTTTGCGTTAGTGTTCTTTTGACTAGTGAAACGTCTTCTCATTTATAATCGAATAAAAAAATATATTTAAACTTTTATTTTGCCGGAAGTTTTGAATCTATTATTCCCTGTATTTGTTCTTGAAGTTGATTTTTAGCTGGTTCATTGTAATTAATAGACCTAATATATTCATTAATTGCATTCTTATAATCATCTGATTTCTCAAATTTTCTTTTATCCGATTCCTTAACTAAATCATAAGTTAAACCTCGTTGCTGATATAATGGTTTCTTAATTAAATCTTTGAATGCTTGAGATAAAGCACCTGATGCAATTCTTGCTACTATAATTGGTTGGAATTGCTGTTTAAGTTCATCTTTAACATTTGCGAAAACTGGATCGAATAAAGCAACTTTAAAGAATTTCTTAGCTGAAATTTCGGGTCTAATATTTGCATATTTACCATCAAACTTGTTAGAATATCGTGGTAATCCATCCGGTCCCTCTTCAATAGCATTTAATTCTTCATTGAAATAAGAATATGGATTACCACGATATGAATTAATTGGACCATTTTCACCTTCTCCAATGTATTGTTTAACAGCTTTTCCATTTTCATCAAATTGCATAGGATAACGTTCATTATATGCTTTACGTTTAGGATAATCAGTTATAGTTAATTTGTAACCATTTATGACTTTAATATTTCCTTGACCATCAGTAATGAAAACTTCATTTATACCATCGGGTTTTCCATTTGGACCCGTAATGTCTGCTTCGTGTGCTTCCCAATTTGGACCTTGACGTTTGGCATGTGCTTGAGCTTCTGGTAATGTTAAAACGTTTCTCATTTGTTTAACATCTTTTTGAAGACCAGCAACAATATGAACTAATTCTTTCATTCCATCAGGAACTTTCATAGTTCTATTATATGCACCCTTTTTGTTTGTTCCTTGTTTTAATGGAACCTGTAGAAGATTTGCCATTTCAGTCATGTTTAATTATAAATAAAAAATAAAAATTAATTATAAAAAGTTAATCAAATTTAACACTTCCTTTATTTAAATCAACTATTATTTTTCCATGTTCACCTAATTGCTGATATTGTGTGTAAAGTTCATTAATGCTCATTGGTAAATTCACTTGATAAAGCATAACGTTCAACTG